TTCCTGATGATCACCAGGTTCTCATCGGGAAAAAAAAAAAAAAAGAAAAGAAAAGAAAAGAAAGCAGACTCAGCTGAAAAACAATTACCTCAGAGAACAAATGCAAACCAAGCCGAATAAGAACTCCCCGATCCTAGCCTATCTGTACCGCTCCGTCCCGACCTCCACAAACTATTGGCTTGGCTTTCAGCCCGATCGCCCTCCGAGAGGCCGAATCTACCACATCCTTTGGTCTGGGCGTCGGCTATTCTGCTGATAGGTTCAAAGCGCAATCTCTGCATGGCAAGGATCGAGCTGCTTTGCTGCCTGCAGATGTAGTGTGCCTGGCTGACGAATATTCTTTTTGTATTCTGGTGAAGAGGGGGTTTTTTTTCCTGCTCTTCTTTTGTTGTAAAGGTAATACGTACGGAGTACCTCCTGTGCGGAGTCCCTAAAGATAAAGTGGAGAGAATTTATGGCGATTAAGGTTTTGGTGCGATAAATTTTTGGTTCGATTTGAATTTTGTTTCAAGTTAGGGTTATTAAATATTTACGGAGGCTTCGACTCCACATCCAAACTTTATACAATACAAGAATAGATATATCTCATCGTCCGTCCATATCGTGTAAGAAAATCACCAAAGAAAAGGAGTTGGTAAGAGATTAGCGGAATGGCAATCCAGGACCCTTGCAGGCATCGGCGTGGATAAAGTACCACACATGCGAATGGAACGCTAGGAGATCAGGAAGTCCGCCGCTGGTGCCGGTGTTTCCCTCGAAGTTAACGTATCCATCGAGCACGGTGACTTGGTTGTCGGTGACGGTAGTGTTATCTGGAGCGGTGATATAGTATTCGGGGCTGATGTGCACGTAGCCCATAGTCAAGAGCGGCAGCTTGGGGACGGGGTCATCATTGTGAGTGAAACGGTAGTTGTTGCCTTGGTTAGTGATGAACTCGGCCAAAGCCTTGTTAGCCACACGTGGCGCGGCGTATGCGTACAGGATCGCGTCGCAGTTCTTCGTGCGCAGGTCAGCAGCTGCGAGCGAGGCGATGGCGGCCCCGAGACTGTGGCCGACAACGACGATTTTGTAGTCGCTGTGCTCGGGCTTCAGCTCATCCAGGGTCTTGATAATTCTGTCGCGGACGACCTTCCAGGCGGTCCAGAAGCCCAGTTCGGCCTTGCAGCCTTTGCACAGTCCTGGGTCAATTTGGGGGAAGGTTGCATCGGTGACCCAGTTGCGGACGGAGTAGGAACCACGGAAAGCGACGATAATGGCCTTGTTGGTGTTGTCTACGGCCACGAAGCCGGCAGTATCGGTGATAGTGTCGCTGTTAGGGTTATTGGTTGAACGTCACGGTACTGGGAACTCAGGTGACTTACTCGGAGAAGCTGACCTTGACGGTGGCATCAGCCGCCTCGACATCCGGGCAGTTGCCCACAGAGCAGTTCAGCTTTTCACCGTCTTTGGCAACGTAGTTATTAGGGCAGTAGGTGGCAGCCGCATATTGCACCCAGAACTTGAAGTCCTCGAGCTGGGTGGTAGGGATGTCTAAAGAATGAGCTGGTGTCCGTCTAGAAGAGATCATGAAGTAGATTCGGTACCTCTAACATCAATTGCCGTTGGGTAAGCGTAACCCAACAGGGCCACTGAGGATAGAACAGAAACAACGCCGGAGAGGAAGCGCATCTTGGGCAGTATGCTTCGCAGGGTCTACTCAATGGATAGAGACAATGCTATTGTGAGGATGAACTGGAGGAACAAAGTGGACGTGAAAACGACGCCTATTAAATAGTTACATTTCTGTATATAGACTTCTCCAAAAACGATATCCCCGATCCGACAATCGGTTTTTATGTGGCTCCGCTGAAAAAAAGTGAGACATGGTATGCGCGATCTCAATAGTCTACCATCGATGCTCTTGGCCTGATCGAGCTGAAATGGTTCAGTTGACCCTACCCATCCACGCGGATCCACTGCTTAAGCTGACGAAGAATGCCACGAAATCAGCCTCGGCACGCTCAAAAAGGATGTTGATCAAACGGGGACAGGCTTGATTGCAAAGCTTGTGCGTCTTGTCATTTCTACATACGGCGGCTTTCGGCTTAACCTTCTCACCAGCAGTACCCGCAGCCCACACTGGATACACTCGAAGCAGAAGCGTGAAAGAAAAAAACGCCGAAAATCAAAAGGCACAGAAACTCAAAACAAAAAGGTACCTGTTGGCTGACGATCCGGCGAAACGGCTGAATCACATGTAGCACATGGTTCAATGTGACTTTTGGGAGCCAAAAATGCAGGGTCGCCCCACTCCGTCTTTGCCCTAAATCGAAGCTTTTTTATTTTTTTTTTGCGCTGAAGATCTCTCTCGGAGTCTCCGGCTACTTACTAACTGACTACTGTAGGACGATACCCTCGTTTCTTAACACAATCCTGCACCAATAAGACCCGTGCCCGCTGTCGATCTCTGCTCTCTTGGTGCAAAGTCCCTCCAGGCGTTCTGGGGTTCCTTGATTATTCTCACGCAGAAATTAAGTCCACTCCGTGAACTCGTTTTATTCTCGTGACCATCTTCGGCTTTCCTTCCCTCATCGCCGGCGGAAGAAAACAATCGCCCGACGGTCTTATTCGACTATGGAAATTTTTATTGAATCCTTCCGAACAAGCTGAGCAAGAGAAACCCAATCATATGAAAATATATTTCCCTAGAATCGTCGAAAATTTCCCTCATTCTACGCCCGTTTTACCCCAACGGCTGGGGCCAACCGGCTCCTCTGACGTAGTCGAGGCCCGAATACGAGGAAAAGCACCGGGATCGGAATCAGCACTACGGCGATACAGCCGAGCAAAGTGCCTGCCCATTGAATGCCCAAGTTATTGAACATCTGCCGCGTGAAAAGTGGGAAGCACGCTCCCACCATGGATCGCATCATGGTGTTAGCTGCAAACGCCGATGCCGCGCTGAGATAAGGAAAGCAGTATCCGTTAGCCCGAGAATAATTAAACGCCGAGTGACACGCAACTTACAAATTGAGATACGAATCAAGTAAGTAATTGAACCCCTGCATGAATATCGAGGTGATGCCGAATCCCACCATCACTCCGGCCGCCGTGGGAGCCATCCAGTGGATCGATGGATTCCAACCTGTCCAGCCAAACCTATTACATACTGTTAACTACAGGTCCTGGCCCAGCATATGGCCACGCGTATGGCATGATGGGAGTCCAAAAGGTCACTCACCAGAAGAGCCCTCCTGCAAATGCAACACCACCAATGATGCAGGGGGGTAGTCGCCACTCAGGTACGGGCACATTACTATTAGCCTCCAACTTCCGGGAGTATGACTTCTGAAGTGAGAGAACGAAGCTACTGCCCGATATCTCACCAATAATCAACCCTATAAATGGCAATCCGCTCACACCACCGGTCATGCCATGGGTGCCTTGGAAGACAATCGGGTAGGCCGACAGCAGCGCATAGGCCAGTCCATAAATGAAGGACATATACAAGGTCAGAAGGAAGGCGATGGGCTCGGTGAATAAAATGAGAAATGGCCTTGCGAGGTTCTTAGTCACCAACTCCCGGAAATCGATCTCATGTTCATCCTGCCGTGCATGAATCCCCCAGTTCCTGGTTTGTCGGCGCAGGATGGCCGCTTTTTGCATCAATACGACGGGTGCGTACGTCTCCTGTGCGAACAGCGCCATCAGGGTCAGGCTAAAGAACCCGACAAAGGCCGGTATATATAGCGTCCACCGCCAGCCCAAGTAGCTCTCTGCAGTGAACCCACCGATAAATGGCGCGGTGAACGGTCCGGTGAACACAGACATCGTATAAACGGCAATTGCAATACCTCGATGATGGTTATTGAACAGATCCGATAGACTAGCTGGGACAAGAGCGATGACACTGGCGGCACAGAATCCGGAGAAGAATCGGGTCAGCATGATGGTTTGCGTGTCTTTCGCCGTCGCGCAGGCGATCGTGAAGATATCGAATCCGAACATGCCAATCAACATGGGCCATCGTCGTCCGATCAACTCAGATGCCGGCGCCCATATCGTTGGCCCGGCAGAGAACCCCAGCACATATAACGTTGTACCCAGCGCAGCCACTTCTTTACCGAATCCGAACTCTTTCATAACACCCTCCGAGGCCGTGGCGAAAATAGCACTAACATACGCCGTAACAAGTGCACAGAACGTCAAGAGCGATCCTATAAGAACACTGTTTCTGGATTAGTGCTGGTGCCTTGGCCACATCGCGATCAAAGTACAGCATACCGCCTTCCCATAGGCCAGTTCTGAGGGTGCATAGGGTCGTCCGATCCTTCGAACTCGACCACGTATTCCTCCGCGTCCGGTAGTGGAGGGGGGTAGTCTTTCCCGGCTCCCATGGGCAGCCATTGCTCTCGAGGGATCCGGCTTCGATTCGATCCAACGGTAAGTTGCTGCTGTAGGCGAGATGTGTTAATACGCTCAAGTTCGACACTATCATGGAGGGTACTAGGACGGCGCTGCGATTCGAGGTCGGCATCTCGAGGCGGAGAGGGAGCCAGATACCCCCCAGAGGTAGAGCTGACCGTCTCCTTCAAGGCCTTTTCGACAAGGCCGTGTGCCATGATCCCGATACCTAAAAGCCCTACGCCGCGAGTCTCGCGTAGTCTACTCCGTACACAGGCAGGAAACGACACCTGAAAGATTTTAACTACGCGAGGCAGGCGACCTAACTTTTATTTTTATTTTTTCTTATTCCTTCGAAGAGACACTCCGGTGGGTCAGAAATTCATACCCGAGTCATCGGCGTGACTACCGTAATATAAGCGCATAGTCCAGATTTGGGGTTCTACCAATCCTGCAAGGTGCCAGCACCCATGGGGTCAACACAACATACTATGGATTTAAGAACTTGTCGAACGAGATTTTCCCGCCAGCGAATCAGCACACCGGGATGCTGGTCCAGCATGGATGTAATTCCGCGGTTAGCACGTCTTTTCGGGACTAAGAAATTAGTGGTGGACACCTTCATCCCGAAGTTGGGTCCGTTCAGCCGGTTAGTCGGCATGGCGCTTCCTTTTCGGGGGTTGCCAAACGGGCCACGATATCGAATCAGCGCCCTCGTTGAAATCTCGATATACGAAGTACATTCGGGTGTATACGTACCCCAGTCGTAGTATTATTCATTTCTTCCCCCAAAGAAGAATTGTCTACGACGTTCATGAATTCCTAACGAGGTTCTATCTTCAATTGAGAAGTAATGCTGCTTGTGTTTCTCTTGTTCGGTAGCAGGCATACCTCTGCCGATCCCATTCTCTAGGGCTTACTTTCGGTCCGTCGCATGGCTGCGGTTCTTGGCACCCGTTCCCTTGGCTTATCGGCATCAATACTCGTTAAGCATTTGGGCTATGGAGTTTGAACCACGTTTTCGCTACCATTTTAGGCACTGATCTGATGAAATATGTCGGAAGGCAAATCAAAAGCAAAGAAAAAAAAATTCAAAGTTCATAATTTTCAAACGGCGATTGCTATCTAACCTGAATAGCTCAGCTCGTACAGAGAACTCGTTGCATATCTGGCCCCAAAGCCCTACCTTAACCGTTCAAAACCTGAACCTCATTATATGAACATTGATAATCAGATAGATCCCTACCCCAAGTAACGTCGTATGAGCCAAGAGAAACCACGGAATTGAATCCGCGGTGGATTAAGCCAGGGACTGTGCCTGACGCAAGAGACCCACAATATTGTTTTCTGTTCGGCTCTTTCTTGTGGTTCGTCAATAACGAACGATAACAGCCCTTGGATAATTATACATTACATCTTCATCACACCTCCAGGAGGCACCGCTTGCCTTTGGGCGACATTAGGAAGAACAACATCTGTTCCATGTCGTTATCGTTGAACTCGTACTTGCTAGAAATATTGGCATTGGGGAAGTAGCGGAAGAAGTAGCCGGTGGCGAGTCGTAGCTCGATCTTTGCGAGGTGTAGTCCAATACAATCTGCATGGTTTGTGTGAGTAGCGTGGTCACTATAGCTTAAGAGAGCACTATAGCTTAAGAGAGCATAGAAGCTTACTGCGAGATCCGGCCCCAAATGGCATGAATGCGTCTTTCATGAGCTTAGTAGGTGAGTCCCATCGGGACGGTTCGAATCTGATATGTAATCAGCAATGAACGGGTCATTCGCTTATTTCAAGTCTTACCTCTCCGGATCAGGGTAAGCAACCGGGTCACGATGCAAACTATACAGCTGCGTGCTAACAGTAGAACCACCAGGTATCCAGTGGCCTCCCATCGTCGTTCCCTTCGGTGGTACACTGCGTGGCAGAGCTGAAGGAACAGCAGGGTAGAGACGGAGAGCCTCGTTGATTACCTGGTTCAGGTAGGGCAGTGGCCGCAGGTCCTCGTCCGTGAAATCATCCCGAATTCCTGCCAATTCGTCGACCAACTTCTTCTTAATCTCAGGATCCCGGCAAACAGCCCAAACCAGGTAGGTCAAAGTATTGGCAGTGGTGTCACTACCGGCCACAATGAAACTTTGCGCATCGTCTCGGATTTCATTATCTGGCAGACCTTCCTCACCCGCATTGTACAGTTTGGTGAAGACAGTCGGTTTTGGGTTCTCCGGGTTCTCGGCCAAAAGACGTTTGTACCGATTAATAGATTCCGTCGCATATCCGAACACACGGTTTCCACTTGCATTGACCTCCTTAAAGATGGGGAGAGGGAGCAGAGTCGCCAACTTGACGAGGATAGGGAAGCTTGCACGAATACCACCAATAACCGAGATCATTTCGATGTCTTTCACATATTGGTTTTTCTGCGGTGCATCAGCTAAACAGCATCTGGGCGAAGCAAAGAGTCACCAACCTTTCCCTTTTCCAACATGCGGAAGGACTCTCCGAAGGTAATTTCACCGATAATATCCGTGGCCATGAAGAACCACCATTTATAAACATCCGCCACGCCACGAGTCTTCATCTCTTCCTGCATTTTCTGGACAGTAAGGCGGACTCGAGAGTCGATCAACGGCTCCATCGACTTGAGTGACAGTTCAGACATCGGAGATGAGAGGAGTCGACGGTGGGCATTGTGAAATTTCGGGTCGGTGGTAGTAAAAATACTCTGTGTATCCTTGCGGTTCAAGAGGGAATACCAAGGGGATTTAAGGAAACCACTTCCGATGCGATGGATTTCGCGTGCGCCACTAATGTCGGAAATATCGACCTCGTCGGGTCCAATTCGTACAACCGGGCCTGTTCCCATCATTAACCACGATTACGTATGTTTTGGAAACGCGACGAACCATATTTTTCATGCAGAGCGTGAACATATCGGGGCCGCTGGCCGGTGACGACTTTGTATCGGAGAGGGAGGTCGGTAAACTTGGTATACCAGGGACCTGGTAAGTAGCTTAGGTGACTTCTCTGCGATCTGTATACGACCTACAGCGCGAATCAGCAGAGGCCGCGATGCAATGGGGTCAGTGTGCAACCTACCGAGAGAACGTATACCAACACAGCGATCGATGCGATGGCAGGAATATTGTCCCGAATAAACCCGGAATCCATGTTGTTTGCTGATACTGACAAGCCCTTGGATATTTTCTCTAATCAACGCAAGTCATGAATTCCCTAGCTACACCCTAGACTTCATGAAGGTGAAGATTAGAGGTGCTGACAGGGTTGGAGTCTGGTTTTAATGGAACCCGCGCCGTTATATGCAACGTTGGACTGTTGACACCTGGCTATGACACCTGAACTTCTCCACGTCTCACGCAGGACATGGGCAACAGATGTAAGATAAGTGAGCCTCTGCCACTGAGGAAGAGACGGGCCAGACTCGACGGGGTCGACGGATGCGTGGTCTCATCAAGGGATGCCGCTTCTGGAAGGACATCCCTTGATACCCACTCCGCAAACAACAACATGGCAAAGTCAATTCAACCCATAACAGTACGATTAAAAGAAAGCTATGTAATCAAAATATGTGAAGATAATCTAAATTAATCTCTTTCTTCCGATTGCAGTGTGGGTATGTCTTTTGCGTCCCCATTAGCAATTGATTCCGCCATGTACATACTACCGTTTGAACTACTCTTGGATATGTATAGCCAGCCACCAACTCTTCTTTCTTCCCATTCACGTACTGTCCCTATATCTTTCACCAATGGCAGGCGCCGTGTCATTTTTCCATGAAGGGTAGGTCAACCACAGGGCGTTTCTCAACCATGATTCTCCTGGAGCCGATGCAACATTACAAATTGGGACCGATGTCACCTTCCTCCACAAGTAGGATATCACGCCAAAATGCCTACCGTTTCATAAAATTGATAATGATTGAGGAGTAAATACATCGAGGGCTTGATGAAAGGAAGCTTGTCCCAAGATGCCAATGCCGGTCTCAAATGCCCCTCGGTAAACTATGTAAGGCCAGTAATATCAGGACAACATTCATGAAAGCACTAGATATGGGTTAGACAATACGCTGTTTTAAAAATTCCAACACTCACCTCTCAAGTCCAACAGGGCAAGCACACTAAATATGTGAAATACTATTGAGATACCAAAGGGCCCTGCACAAAGTGATTCTAGAACCCACATTACACACTAGATAGGCAGTTTTACTGGTAACCAGAACGGATAAATAATCCTGCGAATGTGTAGCATTCCGCAAATGGAATGACGCATAAATGAAAACAGCTTCGGGATCTCGATATCAATTGTCTATTCTGGTATGGCATACATCGAGTCATGCCATACTCCTAAAGCTCCAAATACGCAAGGTGGTATCTACGCCTTTTATATTTTCATATGTACATCATTCTTCCTTTGGCCATTAGTAATCCATATAGACTAGATAACTCCATCGCATAAGAATATCCGTATATATTTAATTCGTAGATCAATCATTCTGGAGATAACTGTATAAGATTTTTCTAGTGCGGCCTTGAAACAACTAGCATCGAGATCTACTGACTACACTGAGTGTGAGGTAGTCATACGACTACCAAGTTATACTCAATAATCAAGCAGGGAGCCCTCCTTTAATCGCTATATAGGCAATTTGGTTGATATGTGCGCCATTCGGCGGGGTAGGTATGCATTGATTAGGGTTGTCGTAATTAGTTGGAGAACACATGATGTCAAGGGGTGCATGGGTTCATGCTCTCCAACACCAACACTAGCGCTGTAGGGCTCCACTCACTACCGTCATAGATTGGAGCATACTAAACATATAAATGTAACTATTTTACTAATGCTCACTACATCCCTTTGTAAACATCCCCTGCACGAAATGCCTCCGTCCATTCCCGAGACAATGTGGGCAGCCCAAATCACTGAAGTATGCGTTTCCATCGTCCTATCAACAGCCACTACCTAACCCTCCAGTTTCACAAACCATACACTATCTCAACGGTCAATGTTCCTCAGCTCCGTCCCAACGAGCTCCTTGTGAAAATACACGCCGCGGGATTCTGTCATTCGGATATACAAGTGCTGCGTGGAGAACTCAATAGCCCACTGCCCTTAATTCCATCCCATGAGCCGGTAGGCACAGTTGTCCAGGTAGGAGAGGAGTCTGCCTCAAAATGGAAAGTCGGCGATCGGGTGGGTATCTTGAATTTCAAAAATGCATGCGGTAATTGTGCAGGATGCAGAGGATCTCGCAGAAGATACGGAGAAATGGATCCGCGATTTTGCGATTACAGAGAGACGGGGGGCTTCAAGAACGATGGCTGTTTTGCCGCTTATATGGTTGCTGACTCAGCGACAACAATAGCTCTCCCTGACTCTGTGTCCTTTGAACAAGGAGCGCCACTATTATGTGCGGGTGTACGTCGCTATTCCTACATCCCACGGGAGAAGAGCCAGAGCTAAGATTTAGGCCACCGTTTGGGGAGCGATCAACAAGGTGCGACCATTTCTCCAAGCAGATGATATGATCGGTGTGATTGGGATCGGGGGGCTCGGACAGCTGGGCGTACAGTTTGCTAAATCATTGGGATACCGAACCGTGGCTATCGATAACCGAGATACGAGTCTACAGCTTACGGACGACATGCCCCCTGAGCTTCAGCCGGATCTTCTAATAAACTCTACACATGACGATGCAAGCGAGAAAATTCTGGAGCGAACTGGTGGTGAAGGCCTGGCCGCGGTGATCAATTGCGCAGATTCGATTGCCGTCAACGCCTGGAGCTTGGGACTACTGCGTATTGGTGGCATAGCGGTCCTTCTAGGTCTGCCGCCGGAACAGTGGCGATTTGATACTCACCCTATTGTCTTTCGGGAGTTGGTTCTACGAGGAAGTTATGTTGCTAGTCGAGAAGAGGTGGAGGAGATGATGGCGGTGGTGGATCAACATGGAGTTCGGTCTCAGTTGACAGTGGTGAAGAAAGATGATATCCTGCAGGTCCCCGAGATGTATTTATCCAGATCGTTTCGCGGGCGTCTAGTTGTGAAGTTTGATTTATGAGCAGTTGTTCATTCCGCTATCCAGGACCAGAAGCACATTGTTGTATAGAAAAGCAATTGTGAAAACCTAAGGTCTTTATCAAGTGATGGATCATGGCAGTTGATACCTTAGCCTTGAGGAGGTTGTTTAGATCGTCGACTATATTCAATGTATCTGAGTAGAAGAATTCTACAGAGTAGATATTCTATATTAACTAGAGATGCTCACTTCGATACTTGAGTTTGCAATCTTAAGTTTAAAAATATATCTACGCGGAACAACTTAGCGTACTTGAACCATGTTTCAATGATACTGTATTGTTACATACAGTCCGATGCGATATGAACCTTCCAGCAAGAGCGATACATAAATGGGAATCTCATCGTATTCGGAATATTTAATTACCAAAAGACACATAATATACCAGGAGTGGGTATCTCCACTTGGTGGGTTCATATGAAGCCAAGGAAAGATTACCATACAGTACGGTCAGACTTGGTTGATGCCCAAACAAGACAATTTTGGAACAGCCGTTCTGTCCATACAATAATCCTAGATCAGGTGTTCTCCTCTCTCTCTCTCTTTCTTTCTGCTGCTATTTCCTCATCTTCCTATTCTCTCTTCCCTCACTTCTCTTCTTCTGTTCACGACAATGTGTCTTTCTCTCTCTGCGTGTATGAATCCTTTCGCTTATATATGCACATCCAGAGTTACCCTTATGTTCTAATTTCGTTTTCTCCAGAGAAATGTGGGGATGGGTCAGGCTCGGAACCATCTGAGTGGATGAAATGGGTCTTGAGCCTCAGCCTTTCGTTCCGTCCATCACAATAATCAGGCTGACGAGTCTGACAACAAACAACCACACCACCGACACTCCTCTTCTCTTCTTCCCATCTTGAATCCCTATTGTTTGTTTCTTTCCGTCTACCCCCTGATCGACTGCACCGGCTGACCCCTACTTGTCCGCTCGTTTCAGCCTGTCCTCGTCGCTGCCTTGGCAATTTCCCCACTGCTCCCCGGGGTCTTAGTCCCTGACACCAGCAGAGCCTCTGTCGCTACGAACGCCCCCTCCTCCCTACGCCTCTCGTTTTCCCCTATTCAGGTTCCCTTCCGGTCCCGTCTCGTGCGGATCACACGATGGCTCACTATCAGAATGGCCAGCCACCATATGGTCAGTCTGGTAATTCCGCACAGCCTTCCCGCTATGACCTGTATACCTCCTCCGCCTCCTCTAACTCGCAGAATAACCCGACACTCCGGAGGATGCCGAGCTACAGCGTAGGGGACGATGCGGGTCTCTTTGCGCCGTCTCATTCTCATAACCCACGGCCGACAGATGCAAGCGCTCGTTACTCGGAGTGGGGTGCTGGGGACTCCCAAGGGGGTTACAGCAATGACCGACAGGAGTACGCAGACCACCCCAGATATGCACACCTCCCCTCCGCAACCTCATCTCAAATTCCTCGCAGTCGCGCTTCCTCGCAGTCCAGTTACCAGTACCAGTATACCTCATCCATTACCTCGCCGACCCAGACGGCGTACAACCCCCAGCAATACGCCGTCCCTTCGACGCCGTCGCAATTAAATTACAACCCCTTGGCATACTCTAGTGCAAACAGTAGCTCGGCCCTAGGTCATCAACCGTACAATCCAGCCGCTTACCAAACCACCAGCGTCGCTGGCTACAGCTCGGCTGGTGTGCAGCGACACCCGAGTATCGGCTACGCGCAAGCACCTCTGACACCGCTCTCCTATGCACCTCCGGTTCCCTCACTACCACCGCCACCGCCACCGCGAGGTCCAGATCATCCGTATGGAAGTCGTTTGTCGCCGCAGTATAGCAGCAGTACTTCTCCCGGGACACCTTACGGGTTGGCTCCAACGGGCTCATCCTACAGTCTTGCCTCCCCGTCAACCCCCGGCGCAACCTATGTGTCATCATTCGCTGGTATGGGTTCAGCGCAGTCTCGCCCCTACTCTAGTGGATCCTATGGACCGTCGTCTCCTCGCCGATCTGAGTCCGCCACCGCCGCATCCAATGAAGACCAGCCCCCGGAGCCTCCCGCCCATGCGTCGTCAGGCGAAGACCCATACGGAAAACGACTCAGCTTGACTCGTCCCGGCTCTGGGCGATCTCTGCCAACCCCGCCGATCTACCCCCCTCAGCCTCAAATGTCACCGCAGAGAACAGATACCTTGACTCGACATCCCCAGTCGCGCCCGCTGCCTGGTCCACCTGTCGACGCAGAGGACGATTCTGCCCCATTAACGAACGGAGGGAGTGTGCATGGCAGATCGGATGGGAGAGCTGGCTATGATGACCTGTTGAGAGAAGTCGAGGCGGCGGTGTTAGACGCTGGGGACCGAAGTAGTCTACGGTCGTTGCGTTTGGAGGCGCAGAATTCCAACCACGGAGGGGATGGACTGCGTCTCTCTCCTGATGAGAAGCATACGCACACCAATGGGAACATGGCAACTGGGACGGGGCAGTATGTCAATTATGATGCCTATAGCGACGACAGCGATGCCGAAGCGGCCGCGGGTCTCGCGATGTTGCAGATGGCCGACGAGGAAGACAGAATGCGGGCTGAGCGTCTGCAGGAGCGCGAACGACGCGAGACAAATGCGTCCATCATTAGTGCATATGCCAGTCAACAACAGCCAGAAGCAAGTGATGAGGTAGCGTTGTACGGTGGAAACCCCCGGGGACAGAACCAGCACGGGGAGCCAGACGTATCTGCCGACGAATATGCTGATGCAGTCGACCATGGCCGACTGGCGCCCACCTCCGGCTCGTTGAGGAGCTCGAACTTGTCCGCGGAGGATCGTGGGGAATACTCGGACGAGTACGAGTATCCTCCTATCACCCAGGACGCTGATTATCCCTTCGAACTTGTGCCGTCCTATGCACGCGTTGATGCCGGCGGCACAGGTGGACTGTCCGAGCCGAGTGCTTATACACGGCGGATGAGCTTCGATTATGGGGACGAGGGAACATTGTCACCAGTGCGTCGTTCCCATCAATCAGGTAGCGACGATTCAGACAGGGGAGAAGAACCCGGAGACCTCTTTTTTCACCCCGGCATGCGGCCCCTACCGCCAGCGCCGGTGGAACCCGCGAACAGAGCTGATTTGATCCCGCATTTGATGCCGGCGGGGACGTACCGGCATCAGGAGCAGGGAGATTGGCAGAGTGCTACTCAGTATACACCCTCTTACTACCCTGTTTCTGCTGACTCGTACGGGCCGACCGTGCCTAGCCCCTCATCTCAAGTCCCACGGTCGACCTCTTTATCGAGTCACCCGATTGGACCTCGTACTGACCCCCCTATCAGATCCAAGACCGATGCAGACCGGGCCAAGTACAAGCAACAGCACGACCTGCACCGCCAGTCGGGGTCACCGAAGGTGGCGTCTCCACAGGCTGCGGCAGCGATGACCCTGGATCTGCCCACGATTCCCGCCGGGCGCCGCAAGAAGTTCAATCCCACCAAATTGTCCACGGAGCAGTTCCGTCGTTGTACGGAACCGTGGGCGCTGAGTGCCATTCTCGAATGGATTCGAGAGCTGAGCGAGGAAGAGACTGATCTCAAGGAGCACACGATAGTCGACGCCATTGTCGCCTTGTTTACTCATAAGGTGCCGACGATGAATATTGCGGACGCAGAAACACTAGCCGCCCGTGTCGTGCAGAACATGTTGGCGGAGGAGGCCTTGATCAAAGAGGAGGAATGGGTTAAGTTCGGCAATGGGTCTTTGTCGGGTGTTTTATTCCAGATTACCGGCACAGGATGCTATTCATCTCGGTTGCACGAGCAGGAAACAGAGGTCTTTGGACGCTGCTACTCTCATCATTGTATGCGAACGTTGAAGAAAGTGAACCTGCGGACCCAAGTGATGGAGCAACAGAAGAAGGCCGAGGATTGGGTGACCTTCTACAAGGTGCCGAAGGAGTTGTGGGAGTCGTATCCGAAGAAAGAGATTGATCGCCAGAATAATCTTCACGAGATCGTGACCACGGAGGACTCCTTTATTGGACAATTGGATGTTCTGCGCGAATTGTACCGGGATCAGCTATCGGGTATGCAGCCAAGCATCATTCCTCCAAAACGCGCAAACAAGTTCTTGAAAGATGTTTTTGGAAAAGTCGATTTGGTGAAGAGAGTTAATGAGGATCACCTCTTGGCCCAGCTGAAGTATCGCCAGAAAGAGCAAGGTCCTTTCATCGCTGGGTTCAGTGATATCTTCCGCGAATGGATCCGGAAAGCAAAAGCGGTCTACATTGACTATGCGGCAACGTTTCCTCATGCCAACTATCTTGTTAGGAGTGAAGCAGAGAGGAACATCCAATTCCGGCAATTCCTTGAGCAAGCCCAGAATCACAAGTTATCAAACCGTCTGAGTTGGGACACCTACCTTAAAGCCCCTATCACCCGAATTCAGAGATATACTTTGTTGCTCGCTACGGTGCATAAGAATATGCTTAAGGATAGCGAGGAAAAGGCAAATCTAGCGCAAGCGATTGAGGAGATTAAGCTGGTAGCCTTAGAATGCGACAACAAAGTGGGTGAAACATCTAAGAAGGTTAGTCTTATGGAACTGTCCGCCAAGCTACAGCTCCGTCCAGAGATGAAAAGAGAAGTCGAACTGAATCTGGAGCATCTGGGGCGTGAAATTGTCCATCAAGGGATACTGCAGCGGCCAGGAGTCCGAACTCGTTTCTTACAGGAGACCCATGCCATCCTCTTTGACCATTATTTGGTGCTGGCCAAGCCGGTTCCCAAGTATAAGGTTTTCGATGTGTCGAAACTGCCTATTCCTATGGATCTCTTAGTCCTTGAAAGCACGAATGAAGACCCTGTCGTCAAATCCTCAGTTAGAGGCGTCGCGACTGTAACTCAGCCTCAGGCCGTGGCCACCCGCGCTGTAGATGGCAATGGCGCCAACACTGCTGGCGCAGTGGCGGGCAAAACAATCGTTCCCACCACAGTCCTTGAGAATTCCACAGATAACAAGATTCT